AATGAGTATCTCTATAAGTTTATTGACTACTTCTACACACTTTTAAAAAATAGTAATAAACAATCTCTTTATATCCTTTATCCATTTTTTCTCTTGAGTTGTTCATTTTTCCTTATAGATTTCTAAGACTTGTTTGCATAGTAATAGAATTAGCATACATCCATTATATGCTAGAAGAACTTTTCTAGTTTAATATTACCTTTAGACTTAAATGTTTTCTTTTCTTTTTTTTGGCAGAACCGGGGATTGAACCCAGGCCCTTACGCTTGCCAGGCAAGCGCTTATTCTACTGAGCTATCTCCCTGGCCCTTAAATGTTTTCTAGATTAATAATACCTTTTTTTTGAAATAGGTCCTGCTATATAGTTCAAGGGATCTGCCTGCCTCAGCCTTCTACGTGCAGGATTATAGGCATGCACACCACACCTGGCTAACTAATGTTACTTTTGATACTCTCTCTTCATGCTTCTAGACATTGCATCAGGCTTAGAAAGGCCTTTCACATTCCAAGGATATAAGAAATGGTGCCTATATTTTCTCCAAGTTCTTAAAAATACAGCTTCATAATTTTCCAAATTAGACTGTTTCAGTCCATCTATAGAATAATACATTCTATTCCTTTTACACGTATAATTCTGGTCAAAACTGTGGTTCAATTCCCAGACCGTTTTTACTAACACAGTCATAGGTTCTCTCACTTATTATTAAAGAAAGAAAGCAATTACAGAGCAATGACTTTATTGACCCCAGATATTCTACTTATCCTGTGATTGCTGAGGGTATACCGAACTAGGAGTTTTAAGAAAAATAAAAGGAAGTACTATTTACACATTAAGTTACATATTGCAGAACTAATTACTCTGAAATGCATTTACTCATTAAAAATACAAAGTCAAGGAAAGCTCAGATAAATGAAACAGTAGTAGGGCCAAATGAATTACTGAAGGAGATCTCTTAAAAGAAAATTTAAAAGAAAAACAAGATGATCAGAACATGGGAATATGGAGCATTAGGGGCTGGGGGTGCAATCTGCAACTGGCCTGTGTTGAAGAACCAAGTCTAAATTAAGATCTGCTTAAAGATAGATGCTGACCTAGAAGGTGGCTCGGGCTGCTGTGCTGGGAATGTGGCCCTGCGGACTGGAGGCCCATCTCCCTGGCGAGTCTGCCGTCAGTGCAAAGCTGTGCCTTGAGACAAAACCCCGCCAGAGTAAGGGAAGCATCCTCGAAACACACCACTGGAGCCAACACAATTTTCTTTTTCATCTTCCGAGAAGGGAACAATGAACAAACCTGAGAGCAGAAATCCTTAAAGCTACCAATAAACAATTGTCATCTAGTTTCTTCTTAGGGCATATATCATAGTATTTACAAAAGAAACCATAATTTTTACCTATTTAAATTGTTCTTCTATCCTGGATAACTGAGACCAGAGATAGCTGTTTAAAACATTTCTGCTTGATCTAAAGTAAACTCAAATTAATTATGGTCATGATTGCTGAATTTTATTTCTTATTTTTCTTTGGCTTCCAAAGGATTTGATTGGATTAATATTAAATTATATTGGTAAATCCAACTTTTTATCTAAAAAAAAAGCTTGGTTTAATTACTTTGTAAGTGAGCTGGTGAAAAATTTAGACTTTAGTAATTAATTAATATTACTATACTTAAATGTTAAGACATTTTCTTTGTAACACAGTAAGACTTGAACCAGAATTAGTATGACTTGCTAATATGCTTGAGACTATCCTGAGATGATAGCTGTAGTAGGTTCCTTGAATTAAAGTAATATTAACATTTTTTTATTTTTATTTTTCATGTCATTTTTTCCCCATAATTTTATTGAGAAACAAATAGAAATGAGACAGTTTCAAACCAAATTGGTAGGACAGTTTCAATAATTAACACACTGCATACATTCTTCCTAGTGGTTAATTGCTGTACAACATGCGGACTTAATAACCTATTTACAAACACCATTAGAACAAATCCCTCTATTCATTAAAAGAATGTAACTGGGCTGGTGAGATGGCTCAGTGGTCTAAAGCACCTACTTAGAACAAGCTTAGCAAAGCACAGGGACCGCGGTTCAATCCTCCAGCACCACATGCCAGCCAGCCCCGCCCCATGGTGGGCTGCACTGGCCACACACACACACACACACACACACACACGCAGTTCTTTAAAAAAAAGAGAGAATGTAACTATATATCTATCCTAACCACTTTTAATACACAGATACAAAATTAATATTCATCTGTATCCCCTTTTTGTTAAGTTCCATTATTTAAATATTATACGTGTGTAAACTCAGCAAAATATTCTAAAAGAGTTCAGTAGTCCATAATAGTATTGGGTCTTCCGCTTCACTGGCAATGTCAGAAATTGTTGACCTGAGTCCCCTACAGCTCAACATAACACCATGGCTTTACTTCTTATACTTCGTTTTTATACTCTTCACCTTGGTTAAGACCAAGGTGAAGCAGGACCTATGCAACAAGAGTTGCAGCTTTTGGGTCTGATAAGGTCAGTGAAATCCCCTCAGGATTTATCCTGAGATCCTGTACCTCAGATTGTAGAACGTTTTTCAGTGTCAGCCATGTGGATGAGTCACGGCCATTGCTTGGCCAATGTGCTCTCTGTGAAAGCCTGAGAGAATGTTTTTTCTCCATGTGACTCTCCTTAGGCACATGCTACATCATCGATCACTTTCCTCTTTGGCCCCATAATCTCTTTGATCAGAAAATTTGGGATACTACTGAGTTACATGACACTACAGTACAAGTTCTCATATGTCCTGAGTCTTAACTGACCTTGGAAAGCTAGGGCCAAAATGTTGGCTTTCCTTGCGGCCCTCCTTTTTCTCTAATTTTGGTCTGCAAACTTAGGTTGTTAACCATCCAGAAGACAAGCTTATTGTTATTACCATACAACCTAGGCTGTTAAGCTTAAGCTCACTATCTGTCTGCATATCAAACATCTTAGGCATAACATGAAACAGGTATTTTTCATCAAGTATTGATATGTTGAACTTTAAGTCCCTATAGAATATGAAAAAACACTTAAAAATTAGAATATATTTTTAAAAATAGGAATAAAGAACTCATACTTCTTATGTTTACACATAAGTCCAAAAATCTAACCATATACAACCTTGAAGCAGGACAGTCCCACAATATTCCTTTTCCTATCTCTTGCCTTCATTCACCCCCCCCGCCTTCTTTTTGAACAATTATCTACCTGAGAGACAGCACAGCAGCAACTGGCATGTCATGACAAGCAGCCTGTATTCAGTAGACCAGAATGATAGGCACTCCAAGCATGAAACTACTATTACATATTACCATCTTCAGTGCAGTTGCTTAGTTCACAGGTATATACAGTTAGTCAGTATATATAGTATAGTTAGTATACTATATATAGTTAGTATATATAGTATAGTCAGTATATATAGTATAGTTAGGATGAGAATCTTTCCAATTAACTGCTAGATTCAAAAATCTGGAGATTCTCAAGAAATACTAACATTTTTAACTTTTGTTTCCTTTACTTATTCTACAATCATTTCACTGTATTTCCCTTTTTCTGAAATTTTGTCTTTTACTAAATACCAATCCATTTCATGGACTTTAGTAACTCCGTGGATCTCAAATGGGTTCATTATGTTACCAGGGACACTCACAATGTTTGGAGACACTTTAGGCTGTCACAACTGAGATGTCAAGGTACTAAGTAACTATAGGGAAGCAGCCATGAGGGAACCCAGACATTCACAGCACAGAAAAGGGGCCACACCGGAGAGGTATCAGGCCTCCAATGCCAACAGTGCCCAGGGGAAAATCAAGTAAAAAATACCTTTCTTCACGTTTCACGATGAGTAACCTTCAAGTGACCAATGTCCTCAAGTACAGTATTACAGAGTAACAAAATACAGAGAACTGTTTAACTATGGTGATCATTTTGCCTCTTAATTTTAAAGATGTAGGTCAGACTACTTTGTGATTCAGGATGTCTAAAAAAACTTTTTAAATGTATAGCCTATAGTTAAAATATAGCACTCTGAAAAACTCTTGAAAGGCTATTCTGTATGTGTTTGTGTGTGTGTATGTGTGTGCAGTGTGGTGCTTGGCATTGAATCCAAGCCTTATCCACAATAAGTACTTTATTACTAGGCCACAGCCCAGGCCCCCTGAAAGATTAACATATATTCTATACGCAAATAATTATAAATGATAGATTACTAGGCTTAACATAATAAACTTTTATGTTTATTATTTCAATTTTATGTTAACTGAAAACTTTTATGTAGTTTTTTTTAAAAAAGTATGTCCTTAGGCACATTCATTTCTAAAGATGTATACTGCAAATTTTGATACCCACCTTCTTAATCTTCTTCCTGTCACTCACTCTGGATAAGCATTTGGCAATAAACACAGATTCATTCAACTGGTAACACTGTAATTAAAACTAAAACTTTACTGTACTTTTCCTCAAATTGCCCCACCATTCTAAGTCTTCTAGAAACAACACAAAAATGAAAGTGCTGAGTGCCTAGATCTGCTCCTGATTTTGACTGGTATCACTTCTATCATCATGATGAGGGGATTCTAGCTCTGAGAATGGGAGCTGTGTGCCAAGATCCTGGCCTACCACACCACTGAAAATGACCTGCTCATCAATAGGACCATCTTTTCTTTTCATGTTCTACTTCTCAGAGTATTTACAACATCTGAAGTTTGTGGTCACAGTATGACAGACAGACCTAGAAGCAACTCTCAATATCCTGTCTTTTCTCTTACAGACAACTCTGAAGACAGTTTTTAGAAGGCTTAACAGGTGAGCTCTTTGTTAATACCCAAAAGAAATGCACAGCAAGGAACCTAAATGCTACATTGTTTATGCTTTCAGAGAATGGCAAAGCTATAATGCACCATAAGCGTTCACAAATGCACTTTGCTCTTAGTAAAGCCAGTCACAAACAGCAGGATGATGTAAGACATACCTGGTTGTTGCTATTGACAGCTGATGAACTGGCTTGAGCTGTACTTGCTGAGAGGGAATCCAGGAAAGCTTGGTCAGCCACTGAATTTCCACAAGAAAACTGATCTTTTCCATCATTGGGTAAGATCTGTGCATTAGAAAGAGCCCCCATTACTTTCATAAATTACAGTCACTGATTTCAGAGTGAGAGCCTCTAAGGGCAAGCAAGACTTGTCATCTTTATGGGAAAGGAATCTATACCATTCAGTGTTATACATTCTCTTCTAAGGACTGCTTTTGCTGCATTACATAATTTTGACAAGTTGTATTTTATTCTTATTTAAACTACTATTTACTTTCTTGAGAGATTTCTTCTTTGACTCATGTGCATTTAAAACTGTTAAGGGCTGGAGAGAAAGGTCAGTGGTCTAAGTGCCCACCTGGCAAATGCAAGGACCTGAGTTTAACCCCTGGTACCACATGTCATGCTGGGCCCCTGAAACCTAATCCCAGTGCTGGGGAAGCTGAGACAGGAGAATCACTACGTGTCTGAGCTGTGATGCAAGCCCCTGTACCAAACAAA